ATTTAAATATTTATTTTTAATGATTTTTTAAAACTTTGTATTGTATTGTATTAAACTGTTTTTAAACTGGCTGTAAGCCGCCCTGAGTCCTACGGGAGAAGGGCGGGGTATAAATATAATATAATAATAATAATAATAAAATAATTCTAACCACCGCACCGCCCTGGCGCTGATAGCAATGACAGCTATCAGGCATCTCTTCTTCTTACCTTGTGTAGTGTTTATACTTCGAAGGGATGCGTTCCTAGTTGGGCCATCGTTAGGCCTAATGTCGTGCAGATTAGGCAAACTCATCCCCATGCGCCTGCTGAGCATGTACTGAGGATTAAACCTTTGAGAAATCATTTTCTCCATCGTTAGCCTTCTCGGATTACCAACCAGGAAGTTGAACCTAAAAATATTTATAATAATTAAAAAAAAAGTCCCCAACCCCCGGTCCGTGAAACGGCACCAGGCCGCAGCATGCCAGCAACCGGGCCACACAAGCAAACAAAGCCCCATCCGTGGGATGCAGGCAGCACACAAAACCATGCCCCCTCCGGTCCATGGAAAAACTTCTCTCCAGAAGATGGATAGATTATATTCAGAACAAATATGGGACTAAAAAGTTCCATTTAGCTTATGAGTAAATTTTAGAGTATTATTATTATTAATAGTTTACTATAGTGGAATTTTTGTTAGTTTTAATTATATGATATTATTATTATTTTTAGTATTAATATTGTATTGTTTAACAATTAGATTGTTAATTTGTTTGTTATTGTTTTTAATTTTAATTTGTTTAAATTTATGTTAAAGGGGAGTTAAAGCGCATTATGGACTTGGTTACTTAAATAGTTGGTTAATGTTAGTTAGATTATGATTATTATATTTGTGACCCTGTGTTCAGCTTTGGGAAGTGGGGGAGGGCGGCTTGGGGGGTATGGGGGTTTATATTGTAATTTTTATAAAACTTTTAATAAAAAAAAAAAAAACCTTTCTCCACGGAACCGGTCCCTGGTGCCCAATAGATTGGGGGCCACTGCCCTATAGGGCTTCCAGATCCAGACAGATAGGCAGGTATTGGCCACTCAATCAGATATCGCGGTAGTACACAAGGACCCAGAGACAGCGGTAGTGATAGATGTAGCAGGGCCAAGTGACAGCCTTGCCTTGCCCTGCGGCAATAGCACCCCTGCCCTGCCCTGCCTTGCCTCGCCTCACCCCGCAGGACGAGCCTCCTGCCCACCGCCCCACCTGCCAGAGACCCCCTGAATCTCCCCCAACCCTGCCCGGCCCCCACAGGCATCCCTCCTCACGAGCAACATCGAGGTGACCACGCCCACCTTGGCCACACCACCCAGTCTGCCATGACCACAGCCACGCCCACTCAGTGGACCACGCCCGCCTGGCACCTGGCGATAAATAAGTGGGTTTTGGGTTGCAGTTTGGGCACTCGGTCTCTGAAAGGTTCGCCACCACTGTACTATGTGATGCGAAACAGGCTTACCGGTCTTCTTCGTTTTGGGTGCTCTGCTCTAGGTAAGCAAAAGCATCCATCCTTCGGTTAAGGCGGGCTTTGAGAAAAGCGTGAAACATGTACGTTTCCAGTACCTGCAAAAACAAAAGGTATTAACAAGCAGTCCTGGGCTTAAAAACTCTTCGTTTTAGTGACCATTCAAAGTTATAATGGCGTTGACCGTTTTTCACACATGACTCTTGCAGCATCCCCATGGGGACCCCTGATCAAAATTCAGATGCTTGGCAACTGGCATGTACTTAGGATGGTTGCAGTGTCCCGGGGTATGTGTGTGTGTGTGTCATGCGATCCCCTTTTGCAACCTTCTGACAAAGTCAGTGGGGAACTGTGTGTTAACCAACTTAACTGCAGTGATTCGTGTCAGGGCTGTGTCAGGAAAGGTCATAAAATGGGGCAAAATTCACTTCACAAGTGAATGCTTAAGAAAAGAAATCTTGGGGCTTAATTGATCATAAATCAAGGACTAACTGTATGTATCTCCACTGTGCTAGATTATCCCGGATAGCAAATGTTTCAGAAGCTTCTCCTTGAAACGATATTATTGCATACTTACAGTAGTGGCCAAAACTGTGGAAACCTTTTGGGAAAAGTGTATTTTTGAGGTTTGATGGCTAATAACTCCACTTTCTTTTTGGAGTAGTACCATTAAATTATATATCAATGGAAAGATAATTTAATCAAAAATGTAATGCAACCAAGTTTGTTCAATTATCCATACTGTATTCTATAAAAAGTTATAGCCAAATAACCAGAAAAAGGAAGCACAACTTGCTCAGGTTGATCTCAGGTAGCTTTCCTTCATCTGATTGTAGCCAATGAGCATGAGTGTTTAGAGAGCTAATCAGGTGTCATCTTGTTTTGGCCATGAGGCAATCAGATCACAGTAGGATTCAGTTATCGATGTCCCGTATTGAAGCCGAGAGGAGGACGTTTGTCAGTGTGTTATGTGATCGCTATCAAGTTGGTTGGGGGTTTTTTGTGTTCTTTCATTGAGTGAGCTTTTAAAACGTAATAAAATTAAAGTAATGGTGCAAAGAGTTGACTGGTCGCCCAGAAAGCGATGTAAAATAGTATTTATTAAGTGAACAAGGCTACAGTTATAAAGAAATTAGAAGAAAAAAATGGGTGGAAACGTAACCAAAGGTGGCATTTCTACTGTACACTTTTCCCAAAAGGTTTCTACAATTTTGGCCACTACTGTAAAGTAGGACTGTGACAGCACCAGTCTCTGGGTTATATTCTTATATTCTAGATGGTCATTAAGAGTCAACAACAACTTAATTGGCACATAAGCAATCCAATCTATAAAATAGTACATTCTAAAAGTTTAACTCTATACTGAGGCATATTTCAGACAAATGACTTCAGTAAGTCTAACAACTATATTGGCAGATACAAGATCATCCTAGCATGTTTGGTTATGTATACTTTCCTCAAAAGATCAAATTAAAAAAAAACCATAAATCAAATAAACATTTGGTGTTTTTTTTAAAAAAAAATTACAACGTGAACTAACAGAACAATTTATGTCAAGTTCTGGCTTACCTTTCCGTAAAAAAGCTGATCGTTTATTGCTCTTGTTTTTAAGAATTCTTCACTGTTAAATACTCTGTGTTCGTAGTTCAAATGGTCCTTCACCTCTCTGTTGATAAAATAGAATTACCACAAGAATTGTTTAAAAAGGTTAGTGGGAATAGGAACGGGAACATTATCAGTGGAAGCAATTTCTTTCTTTCTTAATAAACATTCTTTCTTTCTAAAATTTTGCATCCTGCATTTTTGGTGTATTTTAAACAATCCCAAGTAATAATCCCGCATTCATTTTGTATGGACAGTGGCTATCCTTATTAGCACTCCGCTAAACAACTAATTCCCACAACACAGTCAAACCACCAAGTGGGGCTGTATTACTATTATCCTTCTCATCTTTCCTATTTCCTTAGCGTCTTATGACCATAACTTTGATGCTTGTATCTTATGATTTATGTTGATTGCTTTTTATTTGTATCCTACTATGATTTATGCTGATTGCTTATTTAATATCCTATGACTATCACTGAATTTTGTATCCTATGATTGATGATGATTGTATTTTATGATTATGATCACGATTTATCACTTGTTGCTTGTAGGTACACTGAGAGCTTATGCACTGGAGACAAATTTCTTCTGTGTCCAATCACACTTGGCCAATAAAGAATTCTATTCTATTCTGTTTTATTCTATTGTTCTGTTCTGTTCTATAATCTATATTCTATTCTATAATCTAATCTATTCTATAATCTAGTCTATTCTAGTCTACAATCTATTCTAGTTTATACTACTCTATTCTCTATTCTATAATCTATATTCTATTCTATTCTATAATTTATTCTATTCTATTCTAGTCTATAATCTATTCTATTCTATTCTATTCTATTCTATTCTATTCTATAATCTATTCTATTCTAGTTTATTCTATTCTCTATTCTATAATCTATTCTATTCTATTCTATTCTATTTTCTATTGTTGAGTGAGTTGAGTCCAATTTTACTACCCTTTTTGCCTTGGTTCTTAAGTGAATTACTGCCGTTAAGTAAATCATGAAATCGTTAAATGAATCCAGTTCCTCCCCCCCCCCCCCATTGACTCTGCTTATGGGAAGCTGGCTGATTGCAAATGGCGATCACAGAATTGGGGGACCCTGCAACCGTCGTTAAGTGCCAGTTGCCAAGTGAATTTTGATCACAGGGGGAGGCCACCATGGCTGTAAGTGCGAGGACCACTCACAAGCCATTGCTTTCAATGTTAACATAATTGCAAACGGTCGCTAAACAAACGGTTGTAACTGAAGGACTACCTGTCATTAAAGATAGCTTGGAAAAGAGAAATTACAAGTTGTTCAAAAAAGAGAAGGCAGCGTGGGTAGTAGGGAAAGTGTTGGACTAGGAACAAAGAAGTAAAATCAGATGGTTGCCAATACTCAGCTGCACCGGATGGCTTTGTGCTAGGTCAGGGGTAGGTAACCTTGGCTCTTTTATGACTCGTGGACTTCAACTCCCAGAATTCCTGAGCCAGCCATGCTGAGGGGAAAGGGAGAGGTTTCCAAGCTGAGCCATGCTGGCTCAGGAATTCTGGGAGTTGAAGTCCACGAGTCATAAAAGAGCCAAGGTGGCCTACCCCTGGACTAGGCCAACTTACTCAGCCCGGCCTACCTCACAGGGTCGTTCTGTTGCAAGGAAAAAAAAACAAGAGGAGGGAGCCCTATGTATACTTACATGAGCACCTGAACGAAAGATGAAATATGAAAGATGGTTGTATAAACAGAGGCACAAGATCACGCGAAGGATTAGTACCGCTTTATAAAACCCTAGTGAGGCCACACCTGGAATACTGCAGCCAATTTTGGTCACCATATCACAAAAAAAGATGTTGAGAGTTTGGAAAAAATTCAGAGAAGACCAACTAAGATGATCAAGGGCCTGGAGACTAAAACGTACGAAGAACGGCTACGGGACTTGGGTTTGGCTAGTCTAAAGAAAAGAAGAAATAGGACAGACATGATAGCAGTGTTCCAGTATCTGAGGAGCTGCCACAAGGCAAAGGGGGCCAGGTTGTTCACCAAAGCACCAGAGGGAAGGACGAGAAACAATGGCTGGAAACTGATCAGAGAGAGAAGCAACCTGGAATTAAGGAGAAATTTCTTGACAGTGAGGTCAATTAACCAGTGGAACAGCTTGCCTCCAGAAACCGTGGGCGCTCCATCACTAGAGGTTTTAACAAGAGGCTAGACAGTCACTTGTCTGAGATGGTATAGGATCTCCTGGGTGAGCTGGGGGCTGGACTAGAAGACCTCCAAGGTCCCTTCCAGCTCTTCTATTCTATTCTATTCTATTCTATTCTATTCTATTCTATTCTATTCTATTCTATTCTATTCTGTACAAATATACATCCAAATAAATGAATAAATATTAACACCGGAAACGTTCACCAGGGTGCATTAAAATGCAACGGTAGCGTTTAAGAAGAAGAATTTGCAAAAAGCCGGATCACTGGTCTTATTGAACCAACGGTGCAAACTCACAGATCATCAAATGAATCCACCCGGAATTCTCTCTCGGGGTGCAAAGGAGCCGGCTCGCCGATTCCTTCATTTAAAGTAAGGCTCCTTTTTTTTCGAACAGACGATAGCATGAAGGTTGAGGAAAGAATGAAAGGCAGCTGAAAGAGATCTTTCCACAACCTACCTGAAGATATTGACGACGAACTGCAGGGCGATCTGCTGAATTTCAGAATTCAGCTTCCGTTGCCAAGTTCTCCGGCGCCCTTGTATTTCAAGGAAGTCGGTGGAGGTTCCCAGGTGGGAGAGTTCCAGGTCATAGTGCAGCTGAAGGCTTTCAGATCTGCAGGAAGAAGTTACACATTGACCGCAATGGAGCCCAACTCAATTGTTAAGTGTTGTTAAGTGTTAAGTGACTATGGAGGTTCTCAGTCATCCAGGTCATGGTGGTCCCTTTTTCACGAGGCAACTGGACTTTCTTTTTTTCTCTCTGAAGAAGTTTCACTTCTCCTCCAAGAAGCTTCTTCGGCTCTAACGGTCACAAGGTGACCTGCTTTACGACCGTCACAAGTTGCGATCAAAGCTGCGGCCTCGTTGATGGTGGTTGAGTTGAGGGCTATCTATTGTCAGGCTCTTCCAGAGCCCCAATGTCTTGTTATTCCATCTACCAGTAAAATGCCTGCTCTGATTGTGGATATGCTAGCTGAAAATTGTGTGTGTGTGTGTGTGTGTGTCTTGTAGGAAAAAAGTGTGCCTCCACCCACAGAACAGGTGATCTGCTCCTGCTAGTTCAAGATTATTTTGTCTGCTGTCGCCTCTCTTTTTCACCGTCTCTTATCGAAACATTAAAACAGGCAAATCTATAGGAGCAGAACCCCCTATGTTAGTTCTTTTAAATAAAGCTTGGATTGGTCCAGAGTCCACCATCCATCCTTTCCTGAACATCTGGATTCAGTATTTGATCAAGTAGCCAAGCACTGCTCACTGGATCAAGTTAGCCTTTGTGCCTTAATTAATTTTAAACACAGAATTTAACTGTGCGTTAATTTCCCCGAGAACAAAGAAACTTAACTGGAAAGAACCATTAATTTTCATCCTCTTCTTGTTCCATTAGTTTCCTGCTGTGGTTACATAGCATATCCCAGGGGTCTTCAAACTTGGCCCTTTTATGACGTGTGGACTTCAACTCCCAGAATTCCTCAGCCAGTGTGCCTGACTGAGGAATTCTGGGAGTTGAAGTCCACAAGCAGAGGTCTTCAAACTTGGCCCTTTTATGACTTGTGGACTTCAACTCCCAGAATTCCTCAGCCAAGCACTCAAACTTGGCCCTTTTATGACTTGTGGACTTCAACTCCCAGAATTCCTTAGCCAAGCACATATGCCTGGCTGAGGAATTCTGGGAGTTGAAGTCCACAAGTCATAAAAGGGCCAAGTTTGAAGACCCCTGGCATATGTCAATGTTTCTTAAACTTGGCTGCTTGAAGATGTGTGGACTTCAACTCCCAGAATTCCCCAGCCAGTTGAAGTCCATACAGCTTAAAATTGCTAATGCTGACCAACATTTGCCATACATTACTCTTTGGAATAATTCTCCGTCCAAATTTAATCAGGGTCAATAGTTGCATACAAACATACTTTGAGTGACCTTTAAGTTTCAGCCATTAACCCTGCCGCTCTAAACCAAGGCTTGTGAATCCAGTCTCATCTTTCCTTCTGAACTTTCAGATCCCCATAATGGAAGCAAGCAAAATCATCTTGGTTTTTTACCGCGTTATAAAAACTCTGGCTGCCTCTGCTGGCACATCTGGAATGTCGGTCGCCTCTTCAGAGGACTTGGATTGAGCGATATCGCCAGTATCGATGTTAATTAGAATTAAGTCGTCAGCTTCCTAGAAAAATGAATCGTTAAAAACAGACGTTAACGCTCCACCGTGGCAGATGTCACCCTTGGCGGACTAACAACAGAAACCATTTTAATTTTAGCTCCTCTACGGACGTTCTCTATCATTCAGGTCCTGGCTGCCCCCAAAGATGCTTTTCCAAAAGGCAACTGGACTTCCTTGCGTTTTTTTTTCTTGGAAAATGTTTCATCCAAGAACCGAAGAAGTCAGAACTGAAGCAGCTTTTTGAATGAGAAGATTGAGGGAGGATGTTCCATAGAGCAGGGGCTGTTGCAGAAAAAAAAAACCTGTTGTTGTGAGTCCGTGCCAGCCACTGGACCCGGCAGCTGAGTCCGGGGAATCAGAGGAGGAGGAGGAGGAGGAGGAGGAGGGGCCTGGAGAGCCATCATGAGCTCCAGAACTTACAATCTGATGAAGAGCCTGGCCCTTCCAATCGTGCTCAGGCTGAGACTCAGCTGTGCGGGGAAGCTGAGTCAGATTCTGAGGACTCACAGCTGGAAGACATTAGAGACGCTTGCAAACGCAGACTGACAACCAGAGCAGAACAGCGGGAGGCAATGGTGCGACTCCAAGGCAGGAGGAGAAGGCATTGAGAAGCCACGCCTTGGGACTGCATAATAAAAAGGGAAGGTGTGGGCGGTGCTGGTTGCTGAAGGCAACTGTTTGCAAAGGACTCAAGTTTCATGGAATCAGATTCTGTTTGCCTTGCCTGTGAACAATTCTCCGTTTGCATTGTGTTTTGTTTGCCTTTGCTTTTGGGACATTTTGCAGGTTTGTACCTAACTAATAAAAGGGGGTTTGTTTCCCCTGCATTTCCAGCCTACTTGTTAAAAGAGGGATTTGTCCTTGTGAATTAACAAGGACTCACCTAAACTGGGACAGAACACCCGTCTTCTAGTCCCTGTCAGCTGACATTCTTTGGCTGATGGGATCTGCAGCATGCCCATCCTATTGGATCCGATTGGACGGGTAGACACTCTTGAAAAAAGGCGATCCCTCAGGTATCTTGGTCCCAAGCCCTGGAAGGCTATACAGGTAACCACCAGCACCTTGAATTGCCCCTGGAAACGCACTGGTAAATAATGCAGCTCAGACAGGTGTGGTGTTACATGTGCTGTGCGCATCTGGCGCCAGTTACTACCCACGTGGCTACATTCTGCACCAATGGAAGTTTCCGAACGGTCTTCAAGGGCAGCCCATGTAGAGCCTGTTGCAGTGGCCTAATCTGGAGGTTACAAGGGCATTGGCACAAAGTTGCATCGGCATATGGTGCTGCAGAGAAGGGGCTGTCCCCTCCGAGCTTCACAGCAATTCTGTAACACAGTCACTTGATAGTGAGATGGGCAGCATGTAAATTTAATAAATGTAATTAAATACTAAATCTTCAATGGGGCAGCTTATACCCACTTCTGGGTTTCCTATCGACTTAAAAATAATCGACTCTTTCAACAGACAACCCATCTTTGGTGCATTAATGTAGAAAACCTCATTATGTGTGTGCTAATCCACTGGCCTAATCTATGGATACTGAACAGGTAAAGTATTTGTGTTTTTTAGTAAAAATAAAAATAAAAAATCAAAATCAAAAAGGGACGCCGCTTTTTTTTCCCCTCAGACATTTTTTTTAAAAAATGTTTCTGTTAAGATCCTGTAACGCATATGCTGCAGGGGATTGAACTGTGCATTTTAAAAATCTAAATGCATCCCATAATTGACAAGCTGATAAAATGTGGTTAAGAGATTTCCTGAATATGTAGCAATAAACAAATAATATTTTTTATCAACCGGATAAACAAATGCAATTTGGTTACAGCTTCCACTGAAGCTTGTACAAAGATAAAAGTGAAGTTTGAGAACCAGTTTGGCATGGTGCTGAACGGGCTAGTCTAGATTGGGAGTTCTAGTCCCGCCTTGGGCATGAAAGCAGGCTGGGTGACTTTGGGCCAATCACCAGGTGATGGTGAGTTCTAGTCCTGCCCTAGGCTTAAAAACTGGGTGGGTGTCCTTGAGCTAAACACCAGAAGATTATGAGTTCTAACACTGCCTTAGGCATGAAAGCCAGCTGGGTGACTTTAGGCCAATCACCAGGTGATGGTGAGTTCTAGTCCTGCCTTAGGCATGAAAGCCAGCTGGTTGACTTTGGGCCAATCACCAGGTGATGGTGAGTTCTAGTCCTGCCTTAGGCATGAAAGCCAGCTGGTTGACTTTGGGCCAATCACCAGGTGATGGTGAGTTCTAGTCCTGCCTTAGGAATGAAAGCCAGCTGGTTGACTTTGGGCCAATCACCAGGTGATGGTGAGTTCTAGTCCTGCCTTAGGAATGAAAGCCAGCTGGTTGACTTTGGGCCAATCACCAGGTGATGGTGAGTTCTAGTTCCGCCTTAGGCATGAAAGCCAGTTGGTTGACTTTGGGCCAATCACCAGGTGATGGTGAGTTCTAGTCCTGCCTTAGGAATGAAAGCCAGCTGGGTGACTTTGGGCCAATCACCAGGTGATGGTGAGTTCTAGTCCTGCCTTAGGCATGAAAGCCATCTGGGTGACTTTGGGTCAATCACCAGGTGATATGTGAGTTCTAGTCGCACCTTAGACATGAAAGCCAGCTGGGTGATATTGAACCAGTCCCTATCTCTCAGCTCAACCCACCTCACAAGGTTATTGTTGTGGGGCAAACAGAATAAGGAAGGATATTAGGTATGTTCACTTCCTTGAGTTGCATATAAATTAATAAAGGTGGGATTTAAAAAAATCCTAATAAATAAATAAGCTGTAGATCTGGAAACAATTCCCAACCAACCTTGCAAACTTCCTCAAAGTGATCGATGTGACACCCCATCAGGAAGGAGGTGGGTGCCATGACAAAATCCAGCATCTGATGAGACAGGATTGGTACAAAGGTGTGTTGCCACTGAATGGGATGGATGTACAACATGAAACATTCGGATACCAGGGTCAGCAGGGCCCAGTCAGAGCAGAAGAAGACAATTTTCCGTTCAGTTAAAATACAAGTAATTATCTAGGAAGAAAAGAAAAACCAACAGATCGCCGTGACTTTTATGCATAGATAAAACTGCATTAGTTAATTTTTAAATGCTCTGATATTTCAGCTGCATTCCACCAGCGTCCCTCACTGCTAATAACTCCACGGTATCTGAACGGGCCCCAAAAGTGACACCTGAAAACTCTAGACTTGTTTTCCTAGAAACAGAACAGGCACATTTGAATGGACAGAAAGCAACCTGCTCAAAATATATTATTATTATTATTATTATTAATAATAATAATAATAATAATAATAATAGTAATAATATCATCATCATCATCATCATCCCAGGTCTTTGGTAAGGACTTGATAGGTAGACAAAATGCCAAATCCAATCTGAACATCTGGCTGACTGTGCGATGATCCATAATAATAATGATAATAATTAAAAAGTTGGAAGGGACCTTGGAGGTCATCTAGTCCAACCCCCTGCTCAGGCAGGAAACCCTATACCATTTCGGACAAATGGCTGTCCGGTCTCTTCTTAAAAACTTCCAGTGTTGGAGCATTCACCACTTCTGGAGGCACGTTGTTCCACTGGTTAATTGTTCTAACTAATAATAATAATAAAGTTGGAAGGGACCTTGGAGGTCATCTAGTCCAACCCCCTGCTCAGGCAGGAAACCCTATACCATTTCGGACAAATGGCTGTCCAGTCTCTTCTTAAAGACTTACAGTGTTAGAGCATTCACCGCTTCTGGAGGCAGGTTGTTCCACTGGTTAATGTCCTGCACAACACTTTTTTTAAAAAAAAAATACAGATTGTCCTGAACTTACAACCATGATGGAACCTGCCCAGGATGGTTGTTAAGTCGTGACAGCTGTAAAGCAGGTCACCCAGATGTCCGATCTTATTTTACGACCTTTGATGTGGTGGTTACTCAGCAACCCTACTGTCCACTATGGGCCCTACTGGGAGTTGGAAGTCCCAAAGGTCTTAAAATTGCTGAAGTCGAAAAACATTGGGATAAAGTAACTCTGCGCAATTTGGCAATATAATAATAATAATAATAATAATAATAATAATAATAATAATAATAATAATAATAATAATAATAATAATAATAATGATCATCGCACAGTCAGCCAGATGTTCAGACTGGATTTGGCATTTTTGTCTACCTATCGAGTCCTTCCCAAGGACCTGGGATAGGCAGATGTGGATGTTGGATGGTATTACAGATATCCTCGCAGGATGGAAGCCGTTCCTACTAAGGCCGCCTTTTGCAATTGATATTATTATTGCTGTTGTTATTAAAGTTGGAAGGGACCTTGGAGGTCATCTAGTCCAACCCCCTGCTCAGGCAGGAAACCCTATACCATTTCAGACTGTCCAGTCTCTTCTTAAAAAATTCCAGTGTTGGAGCATTCAACACTTCTGGAGGCAGGCTGTTCCACTGGTTAATTGTTCTAACTGTCAGGAAGTTTCTCCTCAATTCTCCTCAATTTGAAGGAGAGAAAATTTCCCATCTGCTTCAAACCACCCCTCTACCTGTAAAATCTGTTCCGGTTTGAAGCAAAGGAAGGGAAGATGTAGATCCAAATCAACAAGTGGGCTGTCGGGATCTTCCTGAGATGGAAAGACGACTTGAAGAGGCTTCAGGTTAAATAGCTAGAAGAAAACAGATGGGGGGGGGTCGGTTTTCATCACCACAAATGGCAGGAGATTACAATTCATTTTCTAATGGCGAATCGGAGCGGAATAGGCAATGTGGTCTAAACCCAATATATTGAGAGGTCCCTGGTGCTCTCTGAGTTTGCTTGTTTTCGTGCAGATGTTTCATGACCCAACTAGGTAACATCATCAGTGCTAGAAGCGAGTGGGGTATGCAGGGAGGAGGAGGAGGACCACGGCGACGACCACGACTGTGGTGCCCTTGATCTTGATGCTGTCTGAGCCTGCTTGTTTTCTTGCAGACCTTTCATTACCCCAGGGGTCTTCCAACTTGGCCCTTTTATGACTTGTGGACTTCAACACTTCAGGTCGTAAGTGTGAGGTGTGGTCGTAAGTCATAAGTCACTTTTCTTCAGAGCCAATGTAATCCTAACCCTAACCCTAACCCCTCACCCTAACCCTAACCCTTAACCATAACTATAACCCTTAACCCTAACCCTAACCCTAACCCTTGACCCTAACCTTTAACTCTAATCCCTAACCCAACCCTTCACCCTAACCCTTAACCATAACCATAACCCCTAACCCTAAACCATAACCCTTAACCCTAACCCTTCACCCTAACCCTTGACCCTAACCTTTAACCCTAACTCCTAACCCCTAACCCTAACCCTTCACCCTAACCCTTAACCATAACCCTAACCCTTGACCCTAACACTTAACCCTAACCCCTAACCCTAACCCCAACCTCTAACCCTAACACTTAACCCTAACCCCTCACTTAAACCTTCACCCTAACCCTTAACCATAACCATAACCCCTAACCCTTAACCATAACCCTTAACCCTAACCCTTGACCCTAACCCTTAAACATAACCATAACCCTTAACCCTAACCTTTAGCCCTAACTCCTAACTCCTAACCCTAACCCTTCACCCTTCACCCTAACCCTAATCCATAACCCTTGATCCTAACACTTAACCCTAACCCCTAACCCCTAACCCTAACCCCAACCTCTAACCCTAACCCCAACCTCTAACCCTAACCCCTAACACTTAATCCTTCACCCTAACCCTTAACCATAACCATAACCCTTGACCCTAACCTTTAACCCTAACCCCTAACCCTAACCCCTAACCCTAACCTGCACTGTAAAGCAGAGATGCCCCAAACATTTTATTTTGAACTATTTTGAGGGCAAATTTTTACAAAACATTCTGTTTTTAGCGGAAATGGACGCTTCAAGAATGCTCGAAACATCCCAAAGAAATCCCAATAAATGCAAAAAAAAAAAAAAAAAAGAGGTTAAATGTTTGGCCCACCCACTCTAGAGGCAACCACGCAATTGATGTCAATGGGCATCAACCCTTTGAAGAAGCTCCTGAAAAACGGGAAGGGAAGAAGGCATGCATTTTCCCCAGCAACTCTACCTGAAGTCTTTATATAGTATTAGTGAATTATCCTACGTAGGCTAAATCTCTTATGTCGAACCGTCCCGTGCATACTTACATCCGATCACGCTATTCTGAGCAGGGTGCAGAAACGGCGCAAGGGGAGATAGGCTAAAGAGGTAAGAAACTTTGAGATCCGGAAAAGGAAGGAGAGCTCAAATCCCCCTTGCCCAAAGCCGCTTCGGACCAGAGGATCAACAAGGAAAGCCTAAGAAGGCAGAAACAGCAAAGCAGAAAGAGAAGTTAAAAGGACAGAGAAATCAGTTCTTCATTTTTATTCCCTACTAACTGTCCCCGGCCACGCGTTGCTGTGGCTCAGTCTGGTAAAAGCATGTGTTGCTTTTACGTCCAGCAGATGGCGCTGTTTTTCAAAAAAAGCATGTTTTTACCTGTCACAGGTGTGACATCTATATAATATAGGTATATAGAAACATGCGCGTATTCAAATGCAACGTTGTGTCAAACTTTCAAAGCAATCGGTGAAGAACGTTCGGAGATTTAAGATTTTGAACAAACGAATATTTATATTTTTACTTATATAGAGAAAATTACGCAGCAAGGAAAGAACAAGATGGGCACTTTGCAGGGGGGAAAGGAGGAAAGGGTATGTAAGGATACTTTGAGGGACGAGTAGAGGAGGTGCCGAGTAGAGGAGGTGCCGCAGAGGAAAAGATAAGATAAAAGGGTGGGTGGCCCTCAGCTGCATAATAGTCAGAGAAAGAAGCCTAAGAAAGACCCACACTAATAGATCAGGCAGATAAAAGCTACTGTGGGAGATTTGTACTTTCAGATTTACGAGATTCTGTTAATGTAACTCTGCAATAAAATACAATTAGCTCATCTCGTGGTGTTTCCTGCTGGGCTTACAAAGATTGAGAAGGAAGTCTGCACCGTTCCTTTCTCAAATGCTACTGCTTTAAAAAAGCAAATAGAATAGAATAGAATAGAATAGAATAGAATAGAA